ACTGACTGCTATAATTCTACCGCAGGTGTCGCAAATACCGAAAGTCACAGTGGATGTTACGCTGGGTCAATTGATGGCTAGGAATGGGGAGTGAGCAGGAAATGTTATGACTATAACATTTCCTGACTATCTTGTTGGCTTTTGAAAGACGCACGTCCAAAGGTAAGACAAAGAAAGAAGGCAAAAAAATATATAAATGCCTGTATGTTCACATACAATTGAAGTATAATGTGCAAAGTCCTTAAGACAGGCTTTTAAACCCTACTTGTAAATACAGACTAAAAACTGGAACAGAACGGGTAGAAAAAACAGGCAGGGAAGCAGTGAAGACTCCGCCTTTCTTTTGAGACCCCATCACTCTTTCACAGCTGGCCATATTCTGCTTTAAACTGCTAGCTTTGTTTTTCAAATGCAGGCCTAGTAAGTCCCTTTAGGGCAAGGATGCTCAGCATAGGCACTGGGTAGGTAATCAGTAACTGTCTGTCATTTATTAAGTAGTCCGTCCTGTCACTCCAGTAAAACCTTAAGTGCAGCCAGGGATCCTTCCTTCAGATGTTTGACATCATGGGATATTTAGTAAGAAAGCTTAATCCCTATCTGTAATGCTCTTCTAAAAATTTAGGACAGGGTGGGTCTTCAACATCCTACAGTCCCCTTTGATCACTTTCAGCAGAGGCCTGACTGGTTCTATGAATCAGCCCTGGCTTAGTGGCCAGTTAGTGCAATACTGTATGAACAGTAACCCAGTAAATCAGACTCAACTCTTACCCAGAATGTACTTCCCAGTATCATACAAAAGAGATACGTTTGTTAAAATGTTCTCAATGATTCTGTATCCAGTTGGTGTGAGCAAAGACCCCCAAATGCTATTAAACTCCTTAGTGATGTGAACCAGATGGAAAATAAAACAAAAGAATTCACAACTCATGTTAGACTGAATTGAATGTCTTTAATTTCACACAATGAATAACATATGAATAGGATTAACTTTTTTTTTTTTTTTTAATAGTTAAGTGCTCTATACTGTGCTAACCTGATCTGGTAGCGAAAAAGACTGAGCTTTCTTTTAGAAAAAAATGTTTAAAACCCAACATCTAAGACCATGGAGGAGCATGACAGTAAGCATGCTAGATGTATCTACGCCTCAAATAACAGCAAGTCCATGTTCATTTTAAATGTACAAAAATGCTTTATGAATAAAAACTGTTACAAAAAGAACATTTCAAACAATGTACAATTTTCTTGCCTCTATATTCAATAAAATACAAATACATTTTTTGTTCTAAAATATGTTTACATACAATCAAAGTAGAACATGCAAATTACACTTTAAAAAAGGCTTTTAAAAACCACTTATGAATACAAACTAAAAATTAGCCAGCACGACTTGTAAGACAATCTTGTGCCCCATTTTTTTCTTTTGAAATATATATGTACATATTTAACACATCATGTGCATTTATTATTATTTAAGAAATAGATTTTTTTTTTTTTTTTAAAAAAAAGGAAGAAAAAGAAAGACACCAATCTAGGGTGGAACTGCCCTTCCACGTTGACCAGTTGGCAGCTCCTTTCAATTTCCCCCCTTTAGTGTTTATTAGACCTGGGCAAGTGGGCAATAGATATCCAGGAAGTTTCTTCCTTGGTTGATATGTGCTTCTAAGACTGTTCCCCAAATGACTGAGTCCAACAGGGAAGGAAGACTCATCAGTGGGGTGAACTCTCCAAGAAACAAGAGGCAGAGAGGACCTTGTATTGTGGAAAGAAACTTTAAGAAACACCAAGAAAATGCTACGGTATATTACAGTTCGAGTTTCTAGGCACTGTGATGACATTATCTGTAAGCTCTGGCATTTGGACCACTGTGATACTATAGGGTAGAGTTGAGAATAACGTCTATATTTATCTACTTTTACATAACGAGAAGGACTGAAAATCCTGCAACGTAACACTTAAATGGCTTTTGAGGCATTTCAGCTTCTGCCATCCCTCTCTCTCCATGCTGCAGTTGGTATTTAAAGGCTTTGGAAATATGTGTATAGACTTTAGACAGTTCCCAGGTAAATCTTTCTAGTGATAGGAAAAAAATATTCTCCAAAAGCTCATTATCTGAATATTGTTGGGTAATAAGCTACAAGAGGGATTTTCTACTTAAGTCTTAAAACCAAATCCTTTATGATCTGCATGTAGTACATCACCTTATACTATAATTCTGTCACCACTTGCTTATCATATTTATAGACCCAGCAATGTGCAGAACACAAATTCTGACTGCCATTGAACATGGCCTCCTACTCCGGACAGCAGCCAAATTAACATGCTAATCTTCTGCCAGCCCTTAGTCACCTTCTCTGGGTTGTTAGTGGCTGCTGATTCCTGGTCCTGCCAAGTCACAAACCAGCCCCTGACATGCTTTCCTTTCCTTTGACCTTTCTTCCTTGGGTTTTCGCCAGAGCTGGGCTATTTGAAGAAGTTAAACTTCTGTTCCTCTCATTTGAGATGAGGGGTGGAAGAGTAAGTAGCTCTTCCAGACACTTAGCCAAGTGGATTAAAGATCCATCATCACCTTCAAGGAGGCTTTTGTATCTAGATTTCATCCTTTTCTCATCACCAACCAGACTCCTTACAAGTGGGTCCGCATTTGCTTACTGAAGTCAGGTCATCCAGAAAACAAAAACTAAAACCAAAACCAAAAAAAAAACAAAAAAAAAGAGAAATAAAAATCAAGGGGTTTCTCTTATAATGAAATATTTTGTGAAGCTGTATATGGAGTACCATGTATCCCAAATGACCTCTTCTCAAAAAAAAAAAAAAAAAGGCAGCCCCACCCAGAAGACAGTGTTGGGGGGCCCAGAGACCTCCACGATCAGGGTCAGGAGAGTTGGGTTTTCTTCCCAGCTCTGCAACCAACTGTCTGTAAGCTGCATTGGCCCACGGCTGAGCTGAGTTTGGACAGGTGGGGAGAGGCTAAAGGAATTGGGGGTAGTTAGAGAATAAGGAAATGGTTGTACTGATGAGTTAGGTAAATGAAAAGCGGAAGAATAACATAATGTGATACTGAGAGAGGAACTGGGTGGTGGAGAGAGGAAGCTGTGTAGGTGACCGAACTTGCTTCCGCCTCCAAGCGGCTGTTTAGCATGCCTCAGCTTTGGTCCTCTGCAGTATTCCAGTCTATTCCTAGGGTCATACAAGTAGGGGATTCGAATTTAACTCACATGACCACTATAGACCAGAATTCACGTGTAAGTTGCAACTCTGCTGTTAAATCTCCTGAAATATCTTTCAGGGCTTTGGAAATTCTAATGTACCCCAAAGCTTTTTTGGAATTTCTCACCTACTAGAGGTTAATGTCAATTAAACTTCGGGTCCTTATTAAAGAAGTTTGCAGAGTGCCAGCTCATCTTCCTCTGCAAGAAGATTGAGTCTGCTTATAGACGTGGCTGGAGGGACAGTACAACACAGGAAGGAGGAAGGGCAAATGAAAGAAAGAAGGAAATGATTTCAAAACCCAGGAAGAGAAACCTCTTTATGGCTGAATTGGAATGAAAATGGTTGCTGTTTCTTAGCAATGGTGGGGTGAGAGGGGCTAATTTAAACCTTCCTCTCAGGTGACTTTGGAACCACTCAGACAGGGCTTGGGAATGACGAATTAAAAATGGCTGCTTTGATTTTGCTGTTTAACTTGTGTGAAATGCCAAAGGTCAACCAAGGTCACAAACTGAGTATCTAGAATATAAGCTTTAAAGTAGAGGGGAATGCCGTCCTTTAAACTTACATATTGCTAGTATTAAATGCGACTGACCTAGCGGGCAGCAAATGATGTGAAGTCCATGGTGACAGAGCACAACAGTATGACTATGTGGGTAATTTCAACCAACTCTTGGTGCCATAACGGAGCAGTAATGTTTGCAAGCACATTAACTTGGAATTTAAAAATTTACTCACATAGATACCCCATCACTTATTCTCTTATGTTGCCAACAAAAATCCCTCTCTCTCTCTCTAAGGAAATAATATTGTGTTCTGAAATGATAATACAATTTCCAGCTGGTCCCAACTTCCCGTAAAGAAACTTAATTTGGAGGTAAACCAGATATTCTAATTCCCATTAGAAAATTTAATTCTCTCTCTCAGTGTCTCTTTCTATAATCTACCATGCCAGGTGTTTGATGTCTTGGGGAAGGTAAGGGGGAGTGAGGGAGGAAATTGAAAATACTTATTTGAAATTTCCACAATCTGACTTTTAGAAAACATCTACGGAAATGGAATTCTTTGTATTCATTCTGAGCCTGCTTAACATATTTTATTCGGGCTGTGGAAATGGATAATAGAGATGGAATATCTGTCCACGCTAAACCAATGGTTAGAGTACAACTTGGATGAGAAATGTACAGCTGAAATTGACCATTTAAAAGACGATTTGTCACACACAGTTTGCATCCATGCAGACTGATAGATTTATAATTACATTATGTACAATAATGTTTTAGTTTATTAAGGCAACCACAATTTGGATACTTTGTCCAAGGTGGCTTGATATAATTGAAGTGGTGATACCCTTTGAGCGTTTTATTTATTTATTTTTCCAGATAAGAACACTTACTCCCATTTGCTTTTAAGAAATAATTATCCAGGGATAATGGACTTCTTCTATTGTCTTTTTGTTTCCTTTTTTTTTTTGAACAACCTATGACAATTATTCGTATGAAAAAGATCAGGTACCAAGGCATTGCTAGACACTTGTCTTTCTGGTGGGTCTGGGGTTTCAGTTTTTGGTGGCTTGTCAGTTATTCTATTTGCTGTGGGGTATTAAAACCATTTTATTCTGCCTCTGCTCTGCTGACATGTTTTAAGTATAAAAATAGCCTGGTTGACATCTGGGTCAACATATCCTTGGCTGCTCTGCGTCACTTATTAAAAAGGTTTTATCAATACTGAGTATGTTTCACAATGATTGGGATTCAAAGCCAGGTTCTTGGAACAGCATGCCAAGGTTGAACTTTACAGCACAGGTTAAGAATTGTATTATTTAAATGTGTACCAAGATTTAAAAAAAAAAAAAGCAGCAAGTACGTTAATGAAAAGATATATGGAAGTACAACGGGCAAAGGAAAAGTAGGAATAGACAACGCTAAAAATCAGTGTATGTGCGACAGAAGAGGCACACAGAACATGAATGCGGGTCTAAGGTCGCCTATCACTAGAACTCCACCTTCTGATCACACAATTCCATCTGAGAAACTGTACGGTTAAGGGAAAGATTCAGGTCACCTGAAGATGACGTTGGTACCCCAAAGCTTAGCAGAGCTTGAAAATCAAAAGAAATAAAAACCAATTAAATGGAACGGGTTACAGCAATGCCAGTTGAGCAATTTGCAGCTTTTCTCCCCTTGGAATGTTTCCTAATTGAGGGTGTTTCCCTTTCGATTTTCCTGGCCAGCAAATGAAATCGGAGTCGAGGGCGCACCTTGGCAGCGGGAGGTCAGGAGAGCGCCACCAGCCTGCTCCTCCTGGGGGCCTTCCGCTTGCCTGCGGACGATCCAGCCGTACTGAAGCGCCGCGTGGTGGGAGCTGCGGTGAAGCTGACAAGCTTCTTCTGAAGATATCTCCCTGCTTTGCTTTCCCTAGAGCTCCTGATGGCTCAGCCCGTCGTCTGGCCGGATTCTGCCTGCCCGGCTTCTGGAGAGAAGGGCGTGGGTGTCCCTGCAGCCGGGGATTCCGCCCCAGCCCACTGCGCTTCCCACGTGTCAGTTCCCTAGGCCCCAGGTGCAGACGCCCAGACCCGCCCTAGGGAAGGACCTCGCTCTCACTCCCTCGGGACTTCCTCTGCCTTTTGGCTTTCACCTCCTCTTCCTGGGGAAGGGGCTGCTGCGGGGGCGGCTGCTGCGGGGGCTGAGCGGGGGCCTGCGGTTTGTGTTTCCTCTTTCCGCCTCGGGGGGTCTTGGGTAGAGGG